AATTCAGTCCACACAGACTGAAGTAGTTTAAGCCGTTGGGTCTTTTAATTGTGATGATTTTGGCCCACGTTTAACAAAAACCCACCTGCTAACATAATGGTAAGGTAATTTTATAACAGTGCAGTTGGTTTGTGTTGTAACTGTGCTGTAGTTACCACTGGACTCACACCTTGACTCATTCGTACACATATAATCAGTGTCTCTGTTTTTATGTTAGAGTTACTGGTTCAATCAGTGAGAAGACTCATTTATCATCTATTTGCTCAGAGCTATGAAATTAAAAACTATAAAATGTGCATGAGAGACCACCAGCCTGGAAGGGCTGAAGGTTTCTTTGGTTTGTCAGATTCATAATGTTCACTATTCCACAGATCCCACCCACTGGATGGTTTGATAATCAATAATGATAATTTTGTTGTGCGGAGTGTCATCAAGCTTGTTTTTCCTTTTCAGGTCATGTGCTGTCGGTCACTTAGACAAGGTTTTAGACCACTAGAGGGCAGAGCAAGCCAATAGTTTGTGTTGATCTTCAGAGAACATGAGACAATAATTGTTTTTCATTATCCTGCTATTGCACTTTATCAGAACTGGATTTACACAACTGAAATATTCTTTTTAGCAATCTACAAAACAAGCATTCTAACTGACAAGCTTAAAAATCCTGCCTCAGCAAATTCTACAGGTACAGAATCTGCAGCTATTGAATAATTGTACAGCTGAAATGATCAGGCACTTTGCACAGAATTGATAGGCAGCAATAGCTAATCAAGTAATTGTGTAAATTCAGTGGTCCAAGCTTCTTAGCAGTGAATGTTTTCTGGTTTGTTTGTCTGACAGCTTCATTTTTCATTATTTGTCCTATAGAATAAGATACTACAAGAAGTCACCATGGGGTCTGGGAACTTCTAAACATCAAACTATATATTGATTAGTGGAGAATATAATCTGTAGATTATTCAGTAATGAAGTGATCATCGGCTGTAGCCCTGGCTTTCTTCTCTTAGAGAATACAGTTGGTACAAATGGTATTCTGACCACCACTGAGCTGAAAAATAATTTGGTTATTTTTCATTTTGCATATCTGAAGCACCTTTACACTGTGTTTAACAATACAAATTCTTTCACTTTCGTTAAACTAATAGTTCATAGTTGACACTACCTAATTCTAGGCAGCTTTGATTTTATTTAATTTGTACTGGATTCTAAATGATATTTTGAATGCAGGACTAAACATTGGCTGACACATGCCGTACACATTATCCTGCTTGTTTGTCATTGTATTTCCAGCTTTTGCTGCCAGGGTTTGCTGATAGAGCCACACACCAAAGGTGACACAGTTCAGTGCAGACTTACCTTTACAAAACCCAACCTCTGGACCAGGGGAGCCGGAGCTTGGTCTTCATGTTAAGTGACCTCATATAATTTGGTGATGTTTTTCAGGACAGTTGCACCACGACATCAAGAACACACACCCTGCTCATCCAAAAAGTAAAAAATTGAAGTCTGAAAATTTCTGTTAGCTCATATTAAGTAGTGAGAGAAATCCAAAATGTTATTATATGGAATACATTTACGCTCATTTGCTTTAATGCTGAGTCTAAGTTAGGTTTGAACAAAATGTCATCATTTCGTTTCATAACTGATTTGATTTGGTTTGGCTGCAGGCTGTTGTCCCGGTAGTGAGGAGGGTCATTTACCTCTGAACAGACCAACCTTTGATCTCTATAAATACAGCCCGTTTAACACAGAGTTGCTCCAGTGTTGCTATTCGGCATTAACAGACTGCAGTGCATCGTTGTCCTCCACACTGAGGTAATTTTCTGTTTCACTGTATTACTTTACAAGTTCACTCAGTTCACTTTAAGTTAATTTCCATTTGTTGTGTAGTTTGATATTATTTGTTATTATTTTTGATAGCTCTGAAATCACTTGTGTCTTAAGAGTCAGTGTTTTTTGGTGATGAGAAGAAAAAAGCAATGCTACAGGGTATCCAGAGACATCATTTTGAAAATCGGATTTTTAAAATTCTGTTTCACCTTCTACTAACTAACAGAGATCATTGTGACCTTTGTTAGAGTTGGGATGGGTTTAGAAAGTCATGTCAACAACAGAAGAGATGTGCCATTGTCACACTACAGTGCCCTGTCATTGTAAGGTCAGAGGTTTCATGTTGGTGCTCTGTGCGGTAGGAAAACCAATATACCAAGTTTTTGGGTGCCCACTTCTATGGAGAGTAGCCACAGTACCAAACCATTTCCATTTATAGACAGTATGCCTAACTGTGGGCTGGTGAATATCTAAAGTCTTTGAGATGACTCTGTAACCCTTTCCAGCTACATGCAAATGAACAACTCTTGTTCGTAGGTCTTCTGAGATCTCTTTTTTGTATGTTTAATGAGTGTACTCAATAAATAAATAAATTACTATATATGGTAGATATGTATGGTAGACCTGGATGGCTTGCCAATGTGGAATTCCCAAGTTTATCCAGGTATCCTACAGGATAATGTCACGGTGGCTGTCTGCAAGCTGAAACCAAGAACAAGCTGGGTGATGCAGCAGGACAATGAGCATTACTAAACATTGAAGTAAATCAGAGAATGTCTACAGATTGGCTTTGGAGACACAAAATCCACCTTTTGGAGAGGCACAGACAGAGCCCAGACCTCAACTCAGTAGGGATGACCTCTAGAGAGCCGTTCACACCAGATGTCCTAAGGATATGGCTGAGCTGAAGCAGTTCTGTGAGGAAGAATAGTCCAAAATTCCTCCTGAACATTGTGCAGGTCTAATCCACAGCTACAGGAAGCACTTGTTCAAGGTTATTGCTGTCAAACATGGTTCAACCAGTTATTAAAACGCTACTACCATTACTTTTTCCACCATCACTTTGTATGTTTAATTGGTATGTTCAATGAAGACATGAAAGATCACAACTGTTTATGTTTTATCGCCTTATAAATGTTGTATTGATATTTGTGACTTTAGATCAAATGACATTTAATGACCAATTTATGCAGAAAACCAAGAGACTGCAAACAGTGCCATTAGTTTTTCTTGTGACAGCATATACTGCAAGGTTGTAAAGAACTGCTTGTTCATCTCATCATATATTCAGTAGCAAAGGTCACATGAACTCAACTAAATGAATGTACATTTACTTTTTCTGCATTAGCTTTGACAGGTGTTGTAAGTCCTGTAACTCATTGACACTATGTTCAAATGTGGTGTGACACAAGAAAGAATGTGGTACTCAGAGGTCCTGCGATCTCAGTGGGAACAATCACTTACATGACATTTGAACAAAACTGTTTTCATTTCCTCTGTGACATACAGATTATTCACCTTTTGCATACATTATTTATTTATTGCTGTAAATTTGATTTTAATTGGCTAAAAATTGAAAAAAAATCTGCACATGAATTTGTGACAGGTGCAACAGAGGAAAATACAAATTGAATGAAACATTAAAGGTCCTGCACACTGTAATATTTATTATTTACCATGTTTTGGTTTGGGGAAGCATCACATCAGTTGCACATTTATATACATAGCTGTTATAATACTTTACATTTTATTGTAACAGGACATAATAGGCATGGTTTTACATAATATGTTGTCAGATAAAGTAATTGCAGCTCCCAGTTAGGAATTGTCAAAAGTCAGTATCTGGCAAATTAGGCTGCATTGCTATTCAATAAAATATCTTGTTGGCTGGTAACATGACTGTGAATATGTGCTCCCCCTGCTACAGGACAAAATGAAGACAGACTATTCTTTGGAGCAGAATGGTACGGAAGACGTTTTTTCTGTAAGTACAGAACAAACAACTTCCACCATAACACTTGTGACCTCTTCATGTTGTTTTCACAGCTCAAGCTCTTTTCCTCACCTATTGTTTCTGCTGCATCCTGTGTTTTTGTTGCAGATGTGTTTGATCCACTTTAGCTGAAATACTGACACAAAACATTCACTTCTTCCCTTCTTCCCTGATTCTTTGACTCTGTCTCCTTATTTCTGACTGTAAAGTCAGATGGTGGCTTCAGATGGAGAACTGGGTCTGAGGCCTCCAGGCTAGGACATACTGATATGGACGACAGCAAAATAGTCCACCCTTCCCCATTCAGAAAATACCACCAGAGCCTTCAGACCCTCAAACCCATCCGCTGGTCCTCATCACAGTCAGTCTCATCAATGAAATACGTTACTTATTCTACTGGCTACTACTATATACAGATCTTATATTCAGTGGTGTTTCTATGTCTAGGCCCCACCCTCTGGACAGTGCAGGTTTCCTGTCCTTTACAACCTTTGCCTGGATGACCCCCATGATGTGGGCCATTTTCAGGAATAAGCTGGACATGGGTTCTCTCAACCTGTCCCCTTTGGATGTATCTGACACCAGTGGAGAAAGGTTTGACACTTTTCTCACTGATTAATGAAGTATTTGCAGTAGGCAGTACAACGGACAGGGCACATGGCAAGAGCTGAGATTCAAATCTAGGAAAGGATTCATGTAAATGAGAGGAAACCATCGAGAAGCATAACAGTTTTATGACTGTTCTTACTCTGGCATTAACTTGACAGTTACATGAATATAGAAAATTTGAACCAAGAAGTGTACTGCCTGGGAAGTTACCATCCCTTGAGCATATGTTCATGGGTTTTGTGCAGGCTCCAGAGACTGTGGGAGGAAGAAGTGGCGAAGGTCGGCCTGGAGAAAGCCTCTTTGGTTCGTGTGATTCTTCGCTTCCAACGAACGCGGCTGATTCTATCTATTGTGATTGGTGTGTCTGCCATGGTGGCGGCATTTCTGGGCCCTGTGAGTCATCATCTCTACATTTTATTTGAATTTTAAAATCTACCCATCGTTTGCCTTTTGGCTGCATCCGGTTGCTATTTGTGTAGTTTATCTTGCTATGATACACTGCAAACTGCAAATCATATTTGAAATGTACTTAAGTAGAACTACCAGTCTAACACTATAAATAGTAAAAAAAAATAAGTAAAAAACAAGTACTATATATATATATTAAAGGAATGCATGCAAAAAATACTCCCTGTGACTGATATTTTGTTATATATGACATTATTATATTGTTAATAGTGGTTCATCAATGTGTATTATTATACTGTTCTGTCTAGTTGAGGTGCATCTAGTTTTTTTTAAAGAAACTATATGGTATTAGTTGTTCCTTTACTCCAGTGGTTCTCAGTGTAGCAGTTTAAATGGATGAGATAATTAATAGGAGAAGAAAGAAGAAAAAAAGTTCTGCTACACAAACTACATTGCAAATAGGTAATACTAGGTAAGACAAAACATTGTAATTAGGACGTTTTTAGACCTCTCTTAGCCATTTTATAATACTATGCATTTTAAAGCACATTGAATGATACCTAAGTATTAGTGTTATTTATACTATTTATTAGTATGTTATTTTCAAGCAGTTGTTGTGACTTTACAGTTTTTTGGCGAGAAAGCAAGTCTCAGTTGGTTATATCACAAAGATTTTGTGGCTAATAAACCTTTGTGAAGTGGTGCTGGTGAGACTGCCCAGAGAATCCCGCAGTGTATGTTCAAGCATGCTTTAAATAGCAGTGGTTACTGTGTTTGCATTTCACTTAAAGCTAAAAAACAGTCCAAACCTAATCTTTTCTTCTGTTTATCGGATGTTGATCCAAGCCAGAAGATGTGCAACAATGATATCCTGAACTGTGGTCTTTTAAACATTACCTGTGTTACAGGTGCACAGTGACCTGGCCTAGTACAACAATAGTGTTTGATACTGTTAAATGTTAAATGTTAATGTTTAATTGCTGTGTACTGTGTACCTCTCTGTCCTCTCAGGCTGTTCTGGTCTATGAAATCTTAGACTATGTTGAAAACTCACAGAAGTCAGTTTCCTACGGCATTGGTCTGTCCTTCGCTCTTTTCACCTCTGAGTTCTTCAAAGCCTTCCTAATATCCTTGATGTGGGCAATGAACCTGCGCACAGCTGTAAGAATAAAAGGTGCCTTTTCTTCAATGGCCTTTCAGAAGGTCATCTCTCTGCGGGTGCACAGCGGCGTTTCAATGGGAGAGGTACAGACCGGGTTACATATGCAAGGTTTAAAGGTATAGTCAGCGATTCTAAGACATCACACATTTGCCGTATTCCACTAAATTTTCCTCACATTTCTCTGCCTGGCCTTTCAGTTTATGTGTTCCACAAACTCCCAGAGGCTGGGGGCTGTGCTCTGCAGCAGGCGAAGTGAAGATCGGAAGCTGCCGGCTAATTTCATTCAGTCAGCACAAGGTGGCGCTCTTTTGCTTGTGCATGGCATAGTGGCATTGTGTGTGTGCGGGGGCGGGTGGATTAGGTTCGGTTCAGTTCAGAATAGTGCTGTTGCCTATCAGGGATGCGTTCTGGTTACTAGGCAACATAAATCGAACCTTTTGAGTTTCTCAGCATCCAGTACGTGCACCTTTGTGGCCACTACAAGTCAGGCAAGCTGTGTGCTGTCTGACTGGTATCACATGAAAGTAACACTTTTTGTAATCCTCCCACTGGTATCAGCTTTATTTATCTGATCCTTTACAACATCATAAAACGGTTTTTTGTCTGTGGCTGGACAACTGAGTGGACCCGGCTCTCAGACGTGATTGCCATTACAAGCCATTTGGGCCAGCCACTGCCTAACCCAAGCAAATACAGCGCAGATGTTTGCTATGTGCCACTGATAATCGTTATGTTGTTCAATTAGGTAGCCTGTCGTTGGTGTGGTAATGCATGTTCATGAATTGTGAGTGATGTGATTAGGAGAGCCTAACTGGAACGACTTATGATTTGTGTACATGGAAATCAAAATGTAAACATTCTTTTGCCAGAATCGCTGACTATAACTTTAATGCATTTTACTGTAATGTGTTGTTCCTACATTTCTCTAGGAAAGTTTGAAGAAACAGTATTCAGTTTAGCAGGTAATTAACATACACTAGAATTGTTTTGCCCAACATTTATCATCTCCGTCTCTTGTTCCCATCCAGATGATTAATGTTTTGACCAATGATGGCCACAGATTATTTGAGGCAGTATTGTTTGGGAGCTTTGTGCTGGCCACCCCAGTGCTCTTTATTGTGTGCGTAGTCTACGCCTGCTTTGTTCTGGGCTATACCGCTCTTACTGGAATCTGCACCTACCTCATCTTCATCCCCATACAGGTCTGTACATTATGAACTGCACATACAGTATACAGTAGATTATATATAGACATGGAACTGTAGTGTAAAATAAATGGTTTCAGATTTTACCTATGGCAAATCCTAATCAGATTTTGTGGTTTTGTAAAAACAAAAATATAGAATATTCTATATTATTTATACCATATTATACAATTACTATCCCAAATAAATCTATTTCCTGTCATCCTGACCAGTGCTGAAATAAAGGTTCATGGAAAAAAAAAAGGAGGAGAGGCAGCGGCCGCCGAGCGGCCCTGACAAAACCTAGTATTTCTAATTCCAGTGTCTGCTTGTTTGACATTGACATTCATGTTTTTTCTGCTTTCAGTTTTTCTTGGCCAGGCTCATTAACATATTCAGGTGGAAAGCCATGGTGTTAACAGATGGCCGTGTTCGCACAATGAATGAGATTCTCAACAGCATCAAACTTATCAAGATGTATGCCTGGGAAGATTCCTTTGAGAAGACGATTGCAGGTATGAAGTCAGGCTGCATGTTGACGTTGTCTTCCAGTCAGATAATTTTTTCTTCTCACTTGTATATTAAATATCAGGGACAGCATTTCTACTAATCCCTCTGTGTAAACCCCTTGTACCGGAGTCAAATTCTTCGTGTGTCCAACACACCTGGCCTACCAAGCTGATTCTGTTTCTGGAAAAACAATCTTGAATGATATCTATGCATGCCCCTTTCATGACTCATGAGATGGTGGAAAATGTCAACACAGATGGCAAAGTCGATACAGTGAAATGAAGTTGTTGTTTTTTTTAATTTTGTTTAGTTTAGTTTAAATTGTGTTTTGATGCAAAATTTCATCAGTGAGCACATAAATTAGCCATGCTGCCAAAGGCACTAGAGGCTGGGTGTGAGGATGCAGCTGCCATATAATCTCACACCTTCTATGCTATCTCCCTACTGTGTATACAGCTGATGCAATAAGTACCAAAGGGTGAGCTCTGCTCTGCCCTTGACCCACTCACCAGTCCCTGCTCTGTCTGTGTTAGTGTGCAGCAATGTGCGTTTTTGGCATTTAGTCCATAAGTGACCACTTGTTTGCATTTGAACTATTTGTTGACCTCTTTGCATTAGAAGCTGCAGCAACTGTATGACTTTCAAACTGCCCTTTTTGTTTGTGACTCTTAAAGCCAAAAGTTTATAGTTCCTTCATCTCTGCCTCACTCACAAGCATCTTTTACCAATATCCATCCATTATCTATACCTCGTATTGTGAGGGTACACCCTGGACTGGTCACCAGTCTATCACAGGGCAGACACTTAGAGACAGAGGCCCAGTGTCCTTCCTAAGGTCATAAGCTCTGAACCCTCCAAGACGTTAGTGACGTCACCTGTAAGTGATTGAGTGCAAGAGTTTGCAAGGGCTGGAAATTGTATAAATAGAAATGGGACAGCACTTTGTGACTTAGGCTATCGAGGGGCAGTTGTCAAATACCTAATCAATATGTTTTTTGTCAAAATGTCATTAAGCAAAGAAAAAAATAAATAGCTGATGAATAAAATAGGTTAATGTATACATAACAGTATTTAGCAGATGCTTTTGTCCGAAACAATGTACAAAAAGATTAGAATAACATCAGTTATAAGAATGATTATTCATTTACTGTTCATCTTCTTTATTTTTCTTTGTTTTATAGCATTGGTTTACCTTTTTAATGCTTCCTGTCTTTCCCGGGTACATTAGGCTAATCCCATGTTTTATGTCACAACACAATGAACTGTGGGGAATTCCTTCAGGTAAAGTCTGTAGAAATGAAAGTGAGCATAAAATGAAGCTCAGAATGAAGACAAGAGAGCCCTCATGCACTTGACAATTTCACAGTGGGACAGCCCTGAGCCCTCACTAACTCAGCATCAACTAACTCAGTTCCTGAGTTATCTTGTACTTGACAATGGGATAGACATGAGGTCACAGTGACGTTTGACCTTTGACCACCAAAATGTAATCAGTTCATCCTTGTGTCCAAGTGGGCGTTTGTGCCAAATTTGAATAAATACTCTCAAGACATTCCTGCGATACTGTGTTTGCATATGTACGAGGGGGATGAGAAGAAGGTGAGCAGGTGGGCGGAGAAGGGAAAATCAAGTGACTACTAGGAATGAAGGAACGTTTCTAGGGAATAATAGTTGCCTGAAGAAGTGAGAACATGGATAAAGGCACATGCAAAATTAACAACATTAACAG